ATTACAAAATGAACAAATCTGAGAGAGGTCTACATGTAGTACCTATATATGTAATATCAAAGCAATTGGACTTGCGTTTTTTAACGAAGTCGAAAATATCACTTTTTACCAAAAATGACAAAAATATTCACCAAAATTCGAGAATTAAAGATATCATTACAAAATGAACAAATCTGAGAGAGGTCTACATGTAGTACCTATATATGTAATATCAAAGCAATTGGACTTGCGTTTTTTAACGAAGTCGAAAATATCACTTTTTACCAAAAATGACAAAAATATTCACCAAAATTAGAGAATTGAAGATATCATCATGAAATGAACAAATCTGAGAGAGGTCTACCCAAGGTACATATACACCAAGTATCAAAGCATTCAGGCTTGTAGTTTTCGAGAAGAAGTCAAAAAAATAAAACATTGACACGGACGACGACGAACAATCACTCATATGATAAGCTCCGCTCGACAAAGTCGACAGCGGAGCTAAAAAAGGCAGGAGAACACTGCACTTGTCACTTTTTTGATTTATATTGATTTTCTATTACCAACAGGGTAGTACACTACACTATCTAATTGACAAATCTTGGGAGAGCATATTACTATCATCTGGTTCTCATTATCATTTTGCATTTTTATATCACTCACAGAAAATGAATTTGATTGTACATCTGTGTTTTGCAGTCTGGTTTATTCCAGAGCACCTCTAGTTAATGTTAAATTATAAATCTGATTTTTAGAAATATCAGAAATTGGTTACCGTAATAATAAATAGATCAGCATGGTTTTCAACATGCAACTAATCCCTCTAGACATCTATGTACCAAATTTCAATGAAATATGACGATTATTCATATTATGCAAATTAGGTAATTAAGATGTACAGATTTCACTATTCAGGTCTATGCATTGTCCCTAGGCACCATCATGCATGTACCTAACCTGTGGTTCTTGAAATATCTGTGGAACAGACATGCATACACACACACACACACACACACACACACACAGACACAGACAGGGTAATTCCAAAGGCTCCAATTGTGTGCTTTGCACACATGAGTAAAAAATACACTTGCTATTTACAACAAGATTGAACTCTGATAACATTTCATAGCGATTGATAAAATTTGAAAATGATCAGATAAAATTTTTTAGAGCTATTGTAACCACAAGAAAATGACAATTTTCAGGTTAAATTTAACAAACATCTTAAAAAAATATGAATAGAACACGTTTCAAAATAAAACTTGGCCAAGATCTCTAACTGGTTAATATAATTATATCAAAATTTGAA